GCCTGCCAAAAATCAAAATCTCAAATTTGCAAAATCCAAAAAAATAAAAGCAGCAAACTGCAAAAATAATAATAATAATAACAATTTACTAACCTCAGCTTGTCCCACGTGGAAAACGTTGACCGCCCCATTGTAGAAAATCGTCAACGGCGCCGTTCCCCGTGGAATCCCGCTCATCGCCCTAAATTAGTAAAAAAAATAAAACAGAACAAAATATGAAAATCCCAATTTTTTACTCAAAAAGGCAAAGCAATTCTCACGTCAAAGTTGACGGCGGCCGTTACGTTGGCGAAGCGGGGTCGAACATGGGAACTGACGGCGTCAAAGGCCGCTTCGCTCCGGCCCCGGTCAAAACCGACGATCGAGCTGTATTCATCCTCGAAAGCACGTTCTGAATCCCTATAATAATAAAAAACCCAATAAAAATCTTTAAAATAGAGGGAAAACGATAAGGGACTTCTACCTAAAAGCCCAAAATTCTACCACCGCTTGCTAATAAATCCACCCACCCCAAAACCACTCATAAATTCAAAATACTTTCCTAAATTAATTTTATACTAATTTATCGTAAGCTCCTACATAAAACCCAACTGCTGAAATATAACATAACAGATTTAAAATAATTTAGCGGGTTATTTTAGGGCGTACGTAAGAGTAATTTTGGAAGTGTGCGTGTCTGAAAGTAAATAGGGGAAAACTTCGTGCTTGCGTTAAAAAAAAACCAGAAAAAGATGGGAATCAGACCGAGAGACAGCTGGGAGAGGCCTCGCATTCTCTCGAGACCGAAGAAATCGAGCTCTACCGTGGACTTCGACATGGCGAAACTCTAGAGAGAGAAAGAGCTAGAGAGGGTGTTAGAGAGAGAGAGAGAGAGGGTGTGGAAGAGATCCGTGAGGGGTTTAAATGAAAGAGGGAGCGAACTAACAGAGCACGTCTTTCATGGGTTGTTACGTTTTTTTTCCGCATCGAGGAACACGATAAAAGTAATGGACTTGGATGGAAAATTATAGATATGCCCTTCGGTTTTTAAATTGTTGACAAGGGGGTCCAAAACTATTGTGCCCCCTCTCTTTTGCGTGTTCGTCAAGAGAGGACTGGCATGCCCTCCTTATCAGCAGACAGCAGGCATAATAGTTCGAAACAAAATAAGGCAACGTTTAATTTTTCAACCACAACTGAAAAATGAAAAGATTACTACTAAAAAGTACCATAAGTTTATCAAAATTACAACATCAATTAAGGATATTTTATATTCAAGAGCTCATGCTTCTAGAAATGGAAAAATCATATTGTACCTTAATAGCCAAATAGAAGAATCGTATCGTATTTGTTAAAATAAATGAATCTTAGAGGATTTTTATGGAAAAATATCATTTAATATTTGAATTCCATAAATAAAAGTTAAAATGTGTTAAATAAATAATTAAATACATTTTAGTTGGTTCAATTAACACACATGTTATATATAGTATAACAAATGTGTTAGTATTATACACTTGTGTTGGTATACAAGCGAGCGTGCGAGCAAGCGAGCGGGACGTGTGAGTGGTCCGGGCGCGCGGTCTTTTTGCATGTGCTATCTTTAAACGAGCTTAAACTTTTTGTATGTGCTCACTTAAAACCAGCTGAACGTTTCGTACATTACAAACGTTACAAGGATTGAATAGGTTTTATTGCAGACGTTACAAACATTACAATAACTGGAATTCAAATCTTTGTCTCCCATAAACCTTATAAAAGGACTTCTTTTGATCATTTGAAACACACAGAAAAACGAAATCTCATGTCCTCTTTTTTTTAATAATTATATAAGTTGTTAAGTATTGGAGGTTCTGGCGAACTGAAGAAGTAGTCGTGGTGTTCACAAGAAGAGAGTGCTTCTTTAGACTACAGTCGTATCATCCTCGGAATTACTGTGCAGACCCAACGCTACCGTAGGTAGGGCATAGCTTCTTCAATGCCAGTCCTCCGTTAAGAGGGTGATTCGGCACTTCTACAAAGTATTTCAAACTTAAAGTATTTTTAATATAATGTTTCTAACTTTCTGCTATTTTCTTTCTTTCCTGTATGGTTTGTTCTGTACGACTTTGGATCTGTTTTTATGCTTATTTTTCCCAATAGCATTGTACTTTATGGTGCCGTTTGGCAACAGGTTAAGTGAAGGGTTAAGAAGACTTAACCCCTTATTAACTAGTGGTGGAAAACGATCAAATCGAATTGAATACTATTGTGTTCGTATTTGTATTTGCTTAAAATTATCAAATTCGAATGCGGACTCTAATATTCATATATGGAGGTTTTCAAATTCGAACTCGAATACTTGGTATTTGATAAATGTTCATGAATATTCAAGAATATTCATCACATATCAAAGTATATTTATTCTGCTAAAGAATTTAATTTTCAAATAGTATTTAAATTAATAAATAAAAATTATTCATTTATAATATATGTCGTATATATATATTTAATTCAAAAATTTTATTAGAAAATAGATTTAAAATTATTTAAGTCTTAAAAATAGTACACAAAACTTAAATAGAAATGGTAAGTGGGTTAAAATATGACATTATATGTGCAATAATACCAATAATAAGTGATCAAATTTTAAACAACTATTTAATAGACAAATGAATCGAATGTAATCAAATTTTAAACAACTATTTAATAGACAAATGAATAGAATGTACATATGGTTAAATTCTATTCGTTAGTAAACTCGAATAATAAAAAATATTTGTTTAGTGGTAAATGAACTACTGAATTGAATACGACCGAATAGTTACTCGAACAATTATTGAACTATTTGTTAATTATTTGGTTCATTTCCACCCCTATTATTAACCCGCAAAACATGAAAAATATATATAAGGGTTAAAGTGAATTGACCCTCTATAGTTTGCCAAACACAAAAAATATAGAATGGTTAAGCTAACCCTTCTAAAGGGATTAAAATGAGTTAATCCCTCCAAATGAAGGGTTTACTAATACTTCTATTTAAAAGGAGCAAGAGTTAAACCCTCTATTTATAAAGAAAATAATAAAAATCCTCATTATTCCCAAACACTAAAAATTATCACAATGGCTAAAGTAAAACTTAGTTAACGAGTTAATAACTTAGCTCTTCGGGTTATTGGATGGGCTAACTACATTAATCTTTTTCCTTAATCACGCTTCTTTAACCCTTTGCCAAAGGGGGCCTAATAGCATAAATCATATTTGTATTTCTCACCATAAGCTAATTAAGTAACTAGAATCAATAAAATTATGAAACTTTGTAACAGCCGGAGTTTCTTTATTGTTTTTTTTTTTGGTAAATGAACTGAATTTTATTCATTTTCCAAATGTAACTTTACGAAACATATCAAAAACCAGACATTATCTGGTAAACAAAAAGAAAAAATTTCAAAATCTCAATGAGATCTTTCATATGAACATGTGTACTATCATGCATAACTTTTATATAAATTGAAATTTTAATATCACGAAGAACCTGATTTGGTATCCTAGCTTTACTCTGGAAAATTCTCAAATTGCGTTCTTGCCAAATCATGTAGATTGCAGCTGCAAGTGTCATCCTCTTCAATTTGTTGAAAATTGATGAACATAT